AATGGAATTAATATGAGAAATGAAAAAATGGAAACAAAGTCTTTGTAAATAGGGAGGGATGGAGGGGTTGAAGGGAGGGCAGGGGAAGAGGGAAAAATAAGAACCAAGAGAGACTATGTAAAGGTGCAGATTTCCAGTGATGAATGTCATTATATTGTATACCTAAAATGTACCAATAAAATTCATTTAAAAATATTAAATGCTTGAATTTAACACACAGTAAATGTTCAATAAATGTAAACCATCAGCATTGCTTTACCATCATCATTTAGATATGATTTGATGTAGAATGTCCAAAGACAAACATTCAACCCCTTCCAGCAGGCATTGCTAGTCAATAAAATCTTTATTTTCCATTAGTTCACAATTAAGAAATATTTAGAAACAAACCTTCCCTAACCCACGTATATCATGCAAGACATGGAAAGGTCATTAGTGATGGAACTTTCAAGGCTTTTGTATAAGAATTAAGAAAACCAAATCAGAGACCTGACGGGCCACAGCCAGTCTTGTAGGCACTTCACACTAGAGGTGGGATGGGAACCCAGGTCTCTTGAAGCTTAACCTCATGGGGTCTCAGACCAACAGAGAAATTCCAAAGCCAGTGTGAAAACCAAGAAGGAAAACTACAATAGGGCACATGGGTGACTGAACAGGTGAAGGACAAGAAGGACTCTTATCCTGTCTTTTCATCCATTCTGGGTTCTAGACAGCTTAGACTCATGTGTAAGAACATAAGCATTGTATTAGTTAGCTTTCTTGTCACTAAGACAAAATTCCTGACATTTATAACTTAAAGGATGAGAAGTTTATTTTGGCTCATGGTTTCAGTGGATTCAGTCCATAGTCAGCCAGCTCTAAACAGAGATGGCATGGTAGAAGGCCTTGGGAGAGGATAGCTGCTGACATCATGGCAGCCAGAAAGCAGAAAGAGAAGGGAGGAGCCAGGTATAGGAGTGCTTCCTTGTAGGTTACACGAGCAGTGACCTGTCTCCAACCAGTCTCATCTAACAGGAAATCAGCTACAAACCCACCAGTGAACTAATCCACCAAGGGGCATAGCGCCCCCATGATCCAATAGCCTTCCAAACACAGGGGGCTTTGGGAGGAACCCAGATGAAGTCCCAGATCCCCTACATTTCTATCTGAGGAAACTTAGCCAAGCTGCTAAACACCTGCAAGTCTCAGTTTCTGTGCCTCTCAAATGCATCCGATCACAGTACTTACTTCACAATATCAAGGATAGAAGGAGATTTAGAAAGGCCTCAGGGTCATCTTTGAGATGATGAAGTCTGGGAGAGACTTGATAGTTAACTTTATTACTAGGAAGAATCATGGAAAGGTAGGAAAGATGGAAAAGAAACCATTGGACTGACATAAGTGAGTTCTTTGCTCATGGAAGTTTTTAAATAAATCAAACCACCTCATTTTCACATTTTAAGGATAAGATTTTTACGCCTTGTAAAAAATATTGACTGAAGCTGCGCATGGTGATGTGTACCTTTAGTCCCAGACATTCAGGGGGCTGAGGCAGGAAGCTTGATTGAGCTTGGCAATTCAACACGAGCCTGGGCAATGTACTGAGTCTCTATTTCAAAAAACAAGTAAAATGCTAATTGATATTGGAAGTTATAGATTAAAATTATTCCATATATCCTTACGAAGCCAGTCATTTGCTCTATTATTCTGCCTTCTTTCTAAAATGTAGTTATTCACCACTGGAGTACCCAAGCTGGACTTTGAGATGGTGGCACTCTACTCCCTGCTAATCTACGCCAGAGACAACCAAGGGGCCACTGCATCACAGACCATCTCAATTCAGATTGCAGATGTGAATGAACCGCCCACCTTCACTGGATCCCTTGCCCAGGGAGACCAAGGTACCAAGGGTTCTCTCTGAAGGGAGAAGCCTTCAGGTGCACACATGCAGGCACAGGCTCTGCGTCCTGTGTATGGAGAACACGAACAGCGACAGCAGGAGTAAGCGCTTGGCCGGCCCAATCTAGGTACTAGCCGCTGTCCTAAGAGCTGTAAGTGGATTCCTTTATTTAATGTTCACAGCACTGAAAGTAGGCTGACTCCAAGTCTCATTTTATGACAACAGACTCAGAAAAATGAAGTAACTGGCTTGGTGTCGAAAATTACCCATTGATTTGTTTGATTACAGGGCACTAAAGTTATTCTTCCATTTGTGTGATTACTTCAGTGTGTCTAGGTCATTAAACTAGAAGCTTCATGGAGGCACGGATGATCTTTAATTGCTCTCTTTGTTTTTTATCATGTATGTATCTCTTTCTCTCCCTGTTGACTTTCTAAATCTCTGTCTCTATTCGATATTTAATACATGATGATCTTTGTGGTCTGTTATAAACACAAACAGCTGAGGTTCGGATGCTAAGGTTGGCCACCAAGTGGGGTAAGTTACTTGCCCCATGTGAGTCTCAGTTTCCTCACTGATTCAACTGAGATGTTTTCAGTACCTGATGTGGTGTCTCAGTGTCTAGCATAGTGATACGCATACAGTAGGTGCCCAGTAAATGCTGGTTCCCTCCTTTCCGTTCCCTAAGCACATGACAAGCCTTTGGGAAAACCCAAGGTCAGATCCTCCTCTCTGACCTCTGAAACAGCCTGTTTGGTGCCCAGGTGCTTGTGGCTGCCCTGTGAGCTCTCGCCTGGTGGATGTCCCCGCCAGCACTGTGGCTACAGTCCCTGCAGGCCCAGGAGCCCTGTACTCCAGAAACATGGGTCCCGTGGCAAATGGTACATGCAGGCGTGGTCTTCCCACAAGAACTCGTGAGGCTCATCCTGCCCAGTGTCCCTGTTCCCCTGCAGGGTGGCTGACTGGCAAATTTGAAATTCCCACTGTCTTTGAAACATACGGAGCTGTGGATGTGGCCCCTGGGAGAGCATGTGTTTAGCATGTGAGGCTCCATGTGGACGGCCTGCACCCCCCAGAATATACGGGGACAGGGCAAACTTAAGAAGACAAATATTAATAAAATAATCTGAAGTATTAATGTATTAGGTGAATAACCTCAAGCCTGTTATTGACTCTTTGTCAACCTCAGCAAAAGGGAAATAATAATGATAAAGTTGCCCATCATGTTAAGTGCTTAGGAATTAAACACCCAAAAATGTTTAATGTTTTTAATTTTTAAATATTGAGACATAATGTTTCCTCCTCTTTTTATTAGTATATGTTTATGAGACATAATAAATGTATCCCTGGTGGGAAATTGCTACATACACATATTGCTTCTTGATCCTTTTTATTTCCACTTCCCCTTCTCTTCCCCATATTTCACCCACATAGTCTATCTCCCTGTTCCCTATCATTCATTTCTTATTTTGCTTTTTATTTATATTTTGTGTTTCTTATATAAAAGGAGCCATGTCAATATTGTTACTATTTATAAATCTCTTTCCTCTATGGCTGACATGTAATAGACATTTAATAAATGGTACCTATTATTATTATTGACATAATGGGAATTGTTCTATTAAAAACACCAGTACTGAGCAAATATAATGCTTTAAGTTTTATCTAAAATACAGGATTGAGGGGCCAGGGATTTAGCTCAGTGGTTCCATCGCTTGCCTCGCAAGCGCAAGGACCCGAGTTTGATCCCCGGCATCAAAAAAAACACACCAAAAAACAGGATTGGATGAGGGAGTTTTGGGTTTGACAGTGGCAAAACTCAGCCACATCTATTATGTTTTCCAGCAGCTGCTGAGATTTACGTCCTAGAGGACACTGCTCTGGGTGCAGTCATTTACAGAGCAGCGGCCAAGGACCCCGAGGATGCTGCTCTGGAGGTAATTTATGATTAGGTCAGAGAACATCAATGCTGGTGGTTTTATGTGTGATTGCAGTCAAATCTAAAGCCTCACAGACATTCAAGTTGCTCACACCCACCATTCAGGATCCAAACCTATCTTGTGCCTCAATTATGAGGACTTTTCAGGTGAAAACAATTGAGGTCTAGGTTGTTTGGGTAATTGGTTCCTTTCTGGTACATTCCATTCTGGGCAGGCCGGCCCAGCCTAATCCTTAGGCAACGTGTAACAAAAGATGCCAAGCCACTTCATTTCATTCTTTGGGATCTGGCTGCAAATACTGCAGAGAAACAAGCCAGCTTACAGGCTGAATTCATGTGTGTTTTAAAACTCTAGATCTCATCGTTAGGCTTTGTAATGCTCCAGAGGGAAAGAAGCTGCAGAGCTGGGGCCAAGAGGCTTGGGCATAAGTCTTCACTTTCCTGCAGCAAATCACTCAGCATTGCTGCTTTGTGTTACAACTGCAAAATTGGGGAGATGATACCTCCTTTGTCTTCTGTTTTATTGCTTTCTCTCATTATAATCAAACACCATAATGAGCACAAAAGTAGTTTTTAAAATGTAAAACATCTTGCAAATGGCAGGATTTGTATTACTCTCAATTTTTGATGCCAGATGGACTGGTTATAGCATTCTTAAACTACAATTTTTTTTACTGGTGGATTGATCAGCAAGAATGACATATTTTTAATTTTCAATATTGTATTGCTTTCTCAAACTGGCTAAAACGAGAGATTTGTTCATGTTGGTGCTGCATACTCAACATTTACAAGTGACTGGCAAAGTTGCTGGATCTTTACTCAAAGCAATCTGAGTCTTACACAGGTTTCTTTAAGCAGTAGATGGCCACTAATATCTGAGCACTGTCTGCATGGCTTTCAGAATTACTGAATGCACTTGAATAGTTACACAATGGAACACTGCAGTTGTCAAGTTCTCCCACATATTTGTCTCCTCCTCCTCCTCCTCCCAGTTGCACAGTGCCGCATCGAGGATGGGATTGGAAAGGTCACAGCTTCCTTTACAACATGCAATTAAACCATGTAATCATGCATATTGCTCCAAATCAACATGTTCTAGATTATAGTACTAAATCTAGCATTGAACAACTGTAGCCACACAAGAATCAGATATCATATCTCAGTTGCTTCCTTAGTGTTGGCTGTGGCAGCTCACCCACAATGTTGACATTTAGGGTGGAAAACACATGACGGTTCAACAGGATTTAGCTGTGGCTCTAACATGCAATCAGAATGACTTACTAGCCAATTAGTGCAAGTAATTAATTTCAAATGATGGACTGCAGATGCTTGCACACATAAATTAAATGCTTCTGCACCTGGCCCTATACTTTTCTCAGAAGACAGTTCGTTCCTGGGCCATATTTGGAAAGCCTATGCAGTGTTCTTTGTGAATTTTACCAAACATGGAATGGTATTTTGGTAGTGACATGGGTTGTGGAAATTTGTATTTAGACACACACCTACTCACATCCTCTGACACAATGGAGCAGATCAGATGTGTTACTCAAGTACTATGGCTGGGGAGCCACCTTTATCTGTGCCTTTGTATCACCTTGGAGAAATATTGGTTATATTATGAGGAAGACATTGGCACCATTTTGTAGCCCCACATATGGTGATGACAATATCAATATAACAAACATTCACAAAATGTATTCCATAAAATCAAGTTCCACCAAGTGATCCATGAAAAAAGTGAAAGATTGTATGATCTAATGACTTTTGGAAAAGATGCCAAAATATCTCTTTTGAATGTATAGTACTTGACATAGCAAATGCTGTCTGGAATTGTCTGAAAGACACTTGTTTGTTTAATCAAGTTTGTTCTAATTATTTCTCCATAGCACTTTAAAAAGGTATCATCCATTAATACTTCAAGTAGAATTTTACTAGCATTCCACAGATTAGAATGCTACAGAGTAGAATCTACATGCATTAGATCCATTCTAAAATTGATAAAATGTAACCTGTCCCTGGGGGTGTTTTCATGATGGAAAAGGAAATTCCAGGTGTGAACACTCCCCACAGAATAAATGTTAATGTAATGAGGTTGGATTTGATCCATATCCAGGTACACCCAAATACCAGGACTTGGGCTGTCTGTGCTCTTTCGCCATTGCGGTGGTACATGTTAAGGATATCTGACACTATGGTACAGGGGTGTTCTGAATCATAGAAAAAGTGGAACTCCTCATCCTTACCACAAAGGAAAGTGAACAAATCAATAGGTTTTCTTGGGCTCTTCAGTGCAAACTGCCACCTCAAGATCTGGAGAGTCAAGTGAATTCAGAATGTCACAGCTACTTTCTGCTTACCTGGAGTAGCAACTGTTGGAGCTGTATTCTGGCAGGAAGTTCTGCATAGTTCTGGAGACTGAGTGTGGACTAGCAGGAAAGCAGGAAGCTCTGGGGTGCCAGTCTTAGGTAGGGGGCATATTTCCCTGAGTTTTATCACCAGGAACTCCACCAGGTCTTTGTAGTAAGATCTAGGAGTGAGCTTTATGTTGGGCAGAGGGAGGAGAAGAGAATCACAGCGATGAATACTCAGAGCCTTCTCCATAACAGAACTCTATTCATGAGGTGAGAGAAGGGAGACCTTGCCCGAACCTTATTTCATCTGGGATACACACATACCTTCATGTGCACACATGTGTATTTATACATGCTCATGCACACAACACATTCCTCTAGACATATTCAAACTTCAGAAAACCAAACACAAAGTAAAAATCTTAACAGTAGATGGGGGAAAATCTACCGTATCTATAGAGTAATAATTATGAGAATTACAGCAGACTTCTCATTAGAAATCATATAAGCAAAGAAAATAGAATGAGCTGGGTGTGGTGGTGCAGGCCTATAATCCAAGCATGCAGGAGGCTGAGGTCAGCGTGGGCTACACAGTGAGTTCAAGGCCAGCCTGAACTAAACTACATAGCAAGACCCTGTCTCAAAAAAACCAAAACAAAACAATACAATAAAACCAAAAAAACTTCCACACATTTAATTAAAAAAGAAATTCACAAATTAACAAATCAAAGAATGGAAAAGAGTATTCCATGCAACAGGAACCCAGAAAAAAGCAGAAGTAGCTATTCTAATTTCAGCAAAGTAGATTGCAAGTCAAAACTGATGAGGACACAAAAAAGTTCACTACATATTGGTTAAGGGAACAATTCAATAGGCAACAGGAAGAGATAACAATTTTAAACATATACGCACCAAATATTGGCATGCCCAACTGATCAAACAAATACTACTGAACATGAAAGATCAGATAAATATCAACACAATTATAATGGGGGACCTCAATAATCTACTGTCACAAATAAACAGATCAACTAGACAAAAAAATGAACAAGGTAATGACAGAGTTGAACTAAAGTTTTGAACAAATGGACTTAATAAATATCTACAGAGTGGTCCATCCAACAACAACAGAATACACATTCTCAATGGCACATGGAACTTTCTCCAAATAGCCCACATGCTAGCCCATAAAGCATGCTTAAGTAAATGTAAATGAATCAATATTACCCCGTGCATATTATCAGATCATAGTGCAATGAAATTAGAAATCAATGGCAAAAGAAACCACAGAAATTATGCAAACACATGGAAATTGAATAATACCCTCTTGAAAAATCAATCAGTTACAGAAGAAATCAAGAAAGAAATCAGACAGTTCATAGAATCAAATGATAAGACCAGTACAACATACCAGAACTTGTGGGACACAATGAAAGCAGTACTAACAAGGACATTAATAGAGGTAAAATACAACATCAGAAAAACAGAATGAGCCCAAATAAATCACCTAATGATGCACCTCAAGGTCCTAGAAAAACAAGAATAATCCATATCCAAAGCTAGTATGAACATTTTGAGTTGCAAACGTTCACAGGTATGAACAGACCTCACATTATGAACATTCATAGATGCAAACAAATCACAGAAGTAGTCTACCTTACCATTTAAAGGTAACTATAAAAGTAAAATATTTTATTTACAGTGGTAATTTACTGTACCATCATTCTAAGGTAATTGTGAAAGTCAAAATAGTTTATAGCATTTTCATGTATGTGTTTGGTTTTTTATGCTTTACATTGTATATTTGTGTCAAAGGTGTATAAAACTCACTTTGTCGGATGTATAAACAAATCTGACTTATGAATGTTCTCCATGGAAGTCATTTGTAACTTGGGAATTTACTGTAAAAGGAAGGAAATTATAAAAACCCAAGTAGAAAATTAATGGAATTAGGACTAAAAAACAATGTGAAGAATCAATGAAGTAAAGAGTTGATTCTTTGAAAGAATAAACAAAATTGACAAACTCCTAGCCAATCTGAGTGAAAAAAGGAAAGAAAAAATCCAAATTCATGCTATTAGAAATGAAAAGGTAAAATCACAATGGATTCTGCTGAAATCCAGATCATGGTAACTACTTTGAGAACCTGTACTCTAATAAAATGGGAAATTCAGAAGAAATGGATAGATTCCTAGATACATATGAACTACCAAAGCTGAACCAAGACAGAAAGAATGATAGCAATATCATAAGTGAAAAGAGGGAGGAATAGGGAATATTCTGTTTTCAGATATCTATATTACATGTAAAGTGCTATAATGTAATTTGAAGCTACACTTAGATTAGTTAAAATGTGTACTGGAAACTCTAAAAATTTTTAAATAAAGATATATAATTGATTTGCTTAGAAGGCAAATAAAGACGAATGTTAAAATGTTCAATTAAAACAGAAAAGGAAAAAAGAAATAAATGCAATGAATTGAAAACAGTTACAACCATGGTAGATACTAGTTCAACTAATACATGTGTCTGAATGCACCAATTCAAAGACAGAGATTGTCAGAGTGGATTTTTAAAAGGCGCATACATTTATGTTGACTACAGCAAACCTACTATCAATGTAAAAACTCACGTAGGCTAAAAGCAG